TTTATACTTTAGAATATTCTCTTTGCATACTTTATACTTTAGAATATTCTCTTTGTAAACACCTATATATAGGTCATTGTACATACAGTATAATTCAAGAAAGCAATAAACCTTTCTTCAGATATTTCTTCTTCTTTTCAGTTTCTAACACAAGCGTTGATTTCCTGGTGGTGGATTCAAAGTGTGAGGATTTTGCCAGTGTTTTGAGGCGCGCGAGGTTGAGTGACGACGGAGCGGTTTTGGCATGCAAAAATGCATGCAACAGGAGATGTTCTGGGTTTCGGTGGAATTGGGTGCTTGATAGAGGGACGCATGTCGCGAGATCGATGTTCTTGCCCGTGGGGAAAGGATTAGATATTGCTCATGTGGATGCTAATGGTGGGGATTCGATCGCCAAGAAGGGGCCTGGCCGTTGGATAAGGCACATCGACCAAAGATCGGGAGAGGAGCATATCTTTCGCGTTTAAGGCATTTTTTTACCGTAGGGAACTACCCTCCTTGAACTTTATGTTTTGGAATTGAGGTTTGTGTAATCTTTTTTTTTTTTTTTTTTTTTACAAGGGAAACATTTGTTAAGAATTAGTGTCTGTTCTAGATCAACAACAAGAGTCAAAATCAGGTGATCTCCACCTATTACTCTAAGAAGTAGTGTGGCCCATCCACTAGGTCACATGGGGGAGTTCTTGTGTAATCTGTACTTTAAAAGTATATAATAAGAAAGTTTTAAATGTAATTTTAAGGCTTAAGTATTGGAAAAGGACCCTAATTTTTACTAAATTCTCAATTGAGGTCCTTAACATTTATTGCACTCAATTAAGGTCTTGAACTCACACAAACTCTCAAATTAGGACCCAATTGGATGAAATCTTAACATCCGGCAATTCTCACTTGACTGTCCGTTACAGTTTGTTATTCCCTCAATATGTGGCATGCCACTTGGACCCATAAAGTTGACTATTAAAAATATTTTCCAACATGGCATATTGGGTGGAGTAGTTTCCCTCCATAGAATAGGTGGGTCCCACAAGACTTAATTCTTTTCCCACTCTCCTTTTTCATCTTTGACTATTCAACACCTTTTTAATATAATATAAAAACCCTAAAACTTTTGTTTGCGAGTGTGTCAATAAAAAAGTACTTTTGCGGACTTCAATAGTCAATTTGAGGTTTTTATTGTTTGGTGTATCCTTTTAAACAACTTTTTTTCATGTTTATATGTAGATTCAACAGTATATAGTTACGATCACGTGGTTTTATTTGTTATTGAATTATTTTAATATTTTTCATGATTTTTGAATTTATTTTTTAATTTAAACTTTTTTGTCTTGATTACACATAATTTCTTTATTTTTGTTTTGTTAATTTATCTAAATTATTGTCTTTTTTTTTATTCTTTATCACTTATTCTCTATTGTATTTCATTGGATTTGTTGTTTATATATGCGTTTTCCATCGACTTTATTTTAGGCACTTTTGGATTATCTTTTATTTGGTTTGGAGTTTGTTTTGTATGGTTTGGAGTTTGTTCTGTATTGACAAAGCAAACTTGGTTTATGCAGTTTCAGTATTTCTGGACTTTATTTTAGACACTTTTGGATTTTCTTTTGTCTGGTTTGGAGTTTGTCCTGTATAGACAAAGCAAACTTGGTTTTATGTAGTTTCAATATGGTTTAAGCGGAAATTAAAGTGTTATATGTGCATTTTAGTTGAGTTTTCCTATATAAAATATGATAAAGTTTGGGGTATGCTTGGCCTGGAGTTTTCCAGTATGTCCTTTTTTTTTTCTGTATGAAGTTGCAGTTTCAGAATTTCAGTATATTAAAGGTTTCTTTCCCCTTGTTTTCCTTTGTCATTTTGGTAGAGTTTCCCTTGCCTTTGTATGTTTCCCCCTGTTTTCCAATAATATGTTCTGTATCAAAATGACAATAGACATAATTTTCATTGCTAGCATTGAATGGATTACAATCAAACAGCCATTTCCATAATGGCTAATATACAGACTCATAATCACCATTTACCTAAAACAATCATGACCATTATCCTATAACATCACAAAAGAAGCCATTCAACCATTATCCTAATAAGATTTTCAAACATATCACTTATACCAAATCAAAAAAACAATTAGCACTAGACAACACTAGACTGTAGAAAAATAATCTGCAAGAATCTGAGGAAAAGAAGAACAATTTTTTGTTTCCTTTCTTTGCAGCAATCAAGCCTAAACTAGCATTACTATAAAGATTAAATTCAAAGTGATGGAGACGGGATTAGTTGTGGGTGCTTTTGTGGTCATCGAGTGGGCTTTTGTTAGTGGCAGAGAGACACTAAGATGAAAACACAAGATTCAACCCCAGTTTCTTCACAACCAATTTCTCAAATATCAATTCAGAAATGGCTGTCAGGTTTTCCCTTTCAGACATGCCCAATCTGCATCAACATTGCTTTCCACCTTTGCCTCCTTTACCGGAACCATGATGCTCTTCCACTCCATGACCAGCAAGCTCATTCCTGAGCCACTCAGATCTCACCTTTACCCTTTATTTCACTCCCTCTTCACTCCTCTCTCTTCCAACCTCATTCTCGACATCAACGAATTGCTGGCAAGTCAAGGAACGATTCTACGAGGCCACCAAACTCCATCTCGCCACCAAGAACAGCCCCAAAACGGAGTGGCTCAGGCTTAGCAAAACCCAGAAACAAAAATGAAGAAGTCGTCCATAATTTTGAGGGAATTCAGTTGAAATGAAAGTATGTCTGCATAGAGCCTTAAAAGATCTTGCAGGGAGAGGCAGGCTGTTGGGCGGAGAAGTTCCAAGGATTGGGTAGGCTACTATTGGGTGGAGAAGAAGATCTTGCAGGGAGAGAGGTAGATTGAAAATTCCAAGGATTTCACCCCCAAATCGTGAAATAGGAAAGAAGAAGAGAGATGGGAGAAAAAGGAGCCTTGGGATCACACATGCCACGTAGGAATATAATTTTTTTACAATCAGCCTTATGGGTATAGTTGGCATGCCACGTATATGCCACGTATTGACGGAGTAACAGACCGCAACGGACACTCAAGTGACAATTGACGGATGTTAAGATTCCATCCAATTGGATCCTAATTTGAGAGTTTACATGAGTTTAAGACCTTAATTGAGTGCAATAAATGTTGAGGACCTCAATTGAGAATTTAGTAACAATTAGGGTCCTTTTCCAATACTTAAGCCTAATTTTAATGCATTAATTTAAATAAAAAAATTAACATTAATTTTAATAATTTTTATTGGATAATAAATAAATTTAATGTTAGCTTTTTAATTTTATTATGAATATTAATGATAGAAAATCCATTTGTAATTTAGGGGTGTTTTTTATATAGCGATTAAAATAAATACATTTAATTGTTTTTAAATATGTGTTTGTTAGTTGTTTAATATTGAATAACAACAATTAACTATTATATAATTAAACAGTTATATTAATTAAATCCGCTATCTATTATTTGTTACTCACTTTTCGCTATTTGTCATCTGTTATCTATTAACTATCATTTGCTACTCATTATCGCTATTTATTTTCCGTTACTTGCCACCTGCTATCCATTAAATTTTAATAGTTATATCAAATAGACCCTTAGATTAGGATAGGTGGTTTTGGAGTACTCAATTACTTTCAATAAATTACTACTCCATTTCATTCACATATCATTTTTTATTTCTTAATTTTTTTTTAGTGGTATAACTAATCAGTATACTTTTTGTTCCATTTTTCTTAAAGCTTGATAAATGAGTGGACCAAGAAAAAGGCTATACAAAATCGTTGTATGTGAGAATGAGCCAAGCAATAAATCTTCTACACAAAACAATAGCAGAAGTAGAGGTACTTTAGCCAACACCCAAAACCAACCAACTCAAACCATTAGAATCAACACCCAAGGCATAAATGAAAAATGTCAAACCAATACAATTAATTCCCAAGGTCTAAGCCAATAAGATCATGGGAGTGACCCAATAAATTAAGCTATTTGTTTCAATATTCCACATAATGAGCAGCCATAAGTCATTGATAATGAAAGGCAAGAGTAAGAATTTAAGGTACTCTTTGCTCTTAGCTATAAGCCTAAACTCACTCCTCTATTACAAGCAGTTTGACTAGGAAATTAAGAGTACATTGTTTGTTTCAACTTGTTTATTTATTGTTTTTGGACTTTTGATAATGAGATGTATTAGATTAGTTAGTGTTTTTTCACAACTTAAAATGTATCTTGTTTGCATTTTAAGGTTAACCAAAAGTGCCAACCTTTCCAGATCATTCATCTTAAAGTAATGATGCTATTGGTGGCACTATGTAAAGCATTTGTATATGATATTTTAAGGCTACAATGAGTTTAATTGTGAACAGACTACATGCTGAAGAGAACGGGTTTTAACCATGTGTGGTGTTAGTGGATGAAAGAGTGCATGCATTCAACGAGAATATCAGTATTGGTGAACGGAGGCACGACAAAACAATTTTCACCCTCAAGAGGACTGAGGCAAGGAGATCCCCTATCCCCATTTTTATTCTTGCTAATTGCCAAAGGCCTAAATGGCCTCATTTCATCAGCTAAGGCGAAGGGGTTGCTGAAAGGATTGAAGATTGGAAATGGAGGAATCGAAATCACTCACCTCCAATTTGCCAATGATATGATCATGTTTGGGAGGGTAGAGGATAGTAATGTATGGGTAGTAAAGTGCATAATGAGAGTGTTTGAACTTATTTTCGGGTTGAAAATAAATTTTGACAAAAGCCTACTGTATGGATTGAATGTGGAAGAGGAATGGGTGGAGAAAACAGCTTGGAGTCTTAACTATAGAAGAGGTCCTTTACCATTTAAATACCTCGGGATTCCAATTGGGGGTAATCACCGAAGACTCACATTTTGGAGGCCATTGATTCAGGGTTTTAAGAACATATTGGCATCTTGCAAAGGCAAACTATTGTCCCTTGGTGGAAGAATCACTCTTGTTAACTCTGTCATGTCCAACCTACCGGTGTTTTTATGTCTTTCTTTTTGGTTCCAAAAGGATTGATTAATGAACTTGAAAAAATACGAAGGGATTTTCTTTGGGGAAAGAAGGAGCGAAAGGGAGGAATTAGTTGGGTTAAGTGGGATACTGTGTGCAAACCTAATGAAGAAGGTGGATTAGGAGGTAGGGACCTCAGAACTTTCAATATAGCTCTATTAGGAAAGTGGTGGGGTAGGATGGCAGGAAAGGAAAGGAGCCTATGGAAAAGAGTGCTAAATACAAAAAACGGGGTTAAAGAAGGAAGGTGTTTGGAATGGGTGAGGGGTGAGATTAAGGGGGGCTCATACTGGTGGAGGGACTTATGTAGAATAAATTCTATTTTACCAAATAGAGAGAATTGGTTAGGAGTGGGCTTCAACATTAATTTAGGGATGGAGGGGGTATTAGATTTTGAAAAGATGTATGGTTAGGGATGGGTGTGGTTGCTGTTGGGTGCAGTTGTTATTATATATATCCAGTTTCAGCATTGAAAAGATTCGATCTTGTTTAATGGTGGATTCTAATAATTATTCCCCAAGTAATTACAGTTATACTTATACAATGGAATGAAAGGGAAATTTCATGTCAGAAGCTTGGATTTAAAATTCTGTCCTGTTTTGGACAACGTTCTCCAACATCAAGTTGCTGTGATTACACTGATCTGGACTTAGTTTTGGTTTTACAGTTTTGCAACTGTGTAATAATAAGTTGTCTGGGAGCATACCTACACAATAAGGATCTCTGAAGAAGCTTAGGGTCCTTGCTTTGCAATATAACCAACTAA